CCATTGAAGAGGGAGATGACATAAGCCCAGAGCCCCAGAGCTGGGCAGAGATTCAGTCAGGATTCAACCCAACATGGTGCAGCTTCACTCCAGGTCTCCTCCTTCCAGGCCAGCAGGACTCTGCATAGTCTGTACAATCCCTTTCTTAGGGAGGAAAGGTTGTCTAACCACAATCCCCAGGGACACAAACTGTGCCAGGATTTTCCTGGCTTGTCCCAAAGAAGTCCTGCGTGATTCTCACATCCAAAGGGAAGACCCTTGGCTCTGTCTACTCCCAGCATCTTTTAAAAAGTTCATGTCAATAGCCCACCTACTATGTGTCAGTCATTAGGCTAAACAGTTTACACGCATTATCTTATTTTCCTCACAATGAAATAGAACAGATGACTAAGACAGAGAGTTAAGTAATAGGCCCAAGGTCATGTAACCTTCCCCTACACGCCTCATCTCTTCTCAACCTGAATTCCTTCTCCTCCAATGAATATGAAGGAAATGTTCCTCATGGACTGTTGAGAAGGAACTTCTTCAACCCCAAGCTCAGGACCCTGCCTGGAGGAGTGTGCCTGCCAGAGGAATCTAGATGCAGGTGAGATGGGGGACAACACAGGCATCCCCTGGAGGTTACCAGGACAGCTTGGCTGCAGCCACAAATGTCTCCCAGGATTCATCACTCAGCAGGCGTTGCAGTTTCGCTTTGTTCCTTGGGTCCTGGAAATACTCAATGGTAACAAAGTCTATGCTCTCTGGATGGAAAGAAAAAAGAATAAGGTTAGAAGAAATCCTAGTAGAATGGAAATGGAATTGAGAATAAACAAGTGAGTATAAATGTTCATCTTCCTGAGCATCTGTCACCCTGGGGACTTTTTTTTTTCTTAACCTGGGGTCCTTTGGTGAGTCAACAGGTGTTATGGATGGAACTTGCTCCCAAAATTTATATGTTGAAGCCCTGACTGCCCATGTGACTGCATTTTATAATTAAGGTTAAATGAGGTCATAAGTGTGGGACCCTAATCCATTATGACTGGTGTCCTTATGAGTGAGGGGAAGACACCAGATCTCTCCCTCCTCCCCAACTTCTCTTTCTCTCTGTCTTTCCCTCTCTCTGTGTCTCTCTCTCAAAATCAACATATATATTTTTTAAGTAATAAAAAGATCTTTAAAACAGACGTGTGCCTCATTGTGCCTCTTTCTCACAGTGGTTAGTGTCGGCCCGAGGACCAAAGCGTTAGGGTTGGATTCCTGGTCAAAGGCATGTACCTCAGTTGAGGTTCCCTGGCCCCAGTGGGGGCTCCCATAGGGCGACCAATTGATGTATCTCTCTCCCTGGACTACCTCACGTTTC